TTGCCGGCCTTGACGCAAACTTTCTCAATTTCGGTAAAGGAGGCCAGTTCTTGGAGCTCACCCATCGCGCTCTCGACGCCGGACAGCAGCGTCGAGCACATGTGTTTATTTTGAGCCTGAACCATAATATTAATCTCGAGGTGAAGCAACACCGAGGCCAAAAGCAGGCACATCATGAGACTCTTGCCGCACTGTCTGGGTGCCAAACATAACGTGTACGGATTAGCGTAGCGCGCAAAGTCTCTTTCGACGCGATACTCGTAGCATATATTCGGCGCGTTACAGTCGTAGGATTCCGAGCCGAGCGGCGCGAGGCACAGCTTCGATAAAAGCGCGTGTTTATATTTATACAACGCGTCCCCGAATTGTTTTTGCGCGATCCCAAGTAACACACCTCGCACCAGTTCGAGCTGAAAGGGTTCCATCTTCATGTGCTTGGTCCGGAAATATTCGAATATTCTGTCGACCATGCGGCCGAATCTGCACATCACGGCTCCCGACTCGTCGTTCTTTATGTGATCGTTTCGCATACGCAGCGCGTGTATTCTCGCCTTCGCTCCGTCGAAGCCCAGCGTTTTGATCAAGTCGGCCTGCGCCGCGCGGTCCGTGACCAGACGATTGTATTCGCCGATCCGTTCGCGTTCCTCGCGTTCTCGGGCTTTATCTCTGTCGTATTTGGATACCCTGAGCCTCACGCAGTCCGCGCTCCACGCTATCGGCACGGACGAGTTGTTTGATACGGGATCGTCGGTGTTCGCCTCGAGCAGCCAATCGATATCGGCTCGCTCGAGCGAAAGTCCTCGCGGGTACGCGATGCGGGCGGGTTCGTTGTCGTGGCTCGACAACGAACCCGTCTCGTTGCTCGGGCCCGCGTGCATCGCGAGCGCGCGCGATAAATGTCACGACGCGCGCGACCTGCAGTATCCGTCGTGGATTACCGTACACGAGTGCGTGTTGCCCACTAAGATTCACTTTAGGTATTGTTGGTTGTTTTCGGGCGTGTGCGGTTTGAAACCGACGCGATTCGCGAACCGCGGCTCGGAAACGAAAGATCTTGTGCATCTAAACCGGCGCCTGATGAGCGACGACGTCGTGGGCCACGATATGACTTATCCGGACGGGGGGCGCATCAACGCGTTCTGGTTGCTCACGGACGGTAGATTGGTGCTGGTGGACGATACGCGCGAAGATTACAAACTGCGTAATATCCGAGCTCAGAACATGCGCCGCGCTGGACAACTTTGGACCTCGGACCCTACTTCGTGCGCAAATATCATAAGCGCAGCGTGTCGCGCGTACGAGACGTTTATTCGCGTGTGCGGAGACGCGACGCGCTCTTTTGACGGTGAGGGTTCGCGTTTCTATAACGTCTACGCGACGTACCCGCTGGCCACCACCCCGGGATCCCACCAAAGACGACGACGACAAGCCGACGAACAAGCCGCCCCCGAATCGGACGAGCGAGGCGTTTGTTGTCACGAAATAAAGACGGGAAGCGCGCTGCTAGCGCTACTCGAACCCCTGTATCGTGTATATTTCGACTTTACGATGCGGGGTTACGGTACGGCCGCGCTCAAAGAATCCGTCCGGTGCCTCGACGCCGAATGGTTGGTCGAACAGGAACGGCTCGAACTGCAACTCGCGTCCGAGATCTCGCACAGCTGGGTGGCTAGGTTTTTAGTTCGACTGGCAATGTTGTTTTCTATGTACTAAACAATTGGCGCGCGACGCGACCGCGAACATCGGTACGTATTTCATTCGCGAGGACAAACGCAAAACACAATCTTTTTTTCCCCCTTATTATCTATCGCACGCCATGAACAACGGACACGGACGCCGCTTGGCCGTACGTCTCAACTTGGAGACAAAGACAATACGGCTCGGAGAACATAAGCTGTGCGCATACGAGAACGCGAAAGGTTACCCGAGTCAGAGACTAGTAAAAGAATATTTAAAGAGCAAACCCCCGGGCTCTTGCGTGCTCTTTTCCGCGTCGAAAGACGACGACGACTTAAAAACGTTATTTGTAGTAGGCTCCGGAGATTCGACTCGATTTCTCGTGAAATATGCGGCGCGGAGATTACCCGACAACTCGTGGGTCCTGACGACGGACGAGCCTCAATTACAGGCGCCGTTCGCCACGCTAGACGCGCTCGTTATACATTGTATAATCGAACCGCGGTTCGCGACGAGCACGATCGAGTTCGACAGTACAACTCTTCGAGAATCCGTTAAAAAATATTATTACTCTCGTGTCTCGCTAAAGAACTCAAGCGTCGTACGAGCCTACATGTTCGCGTACGATAAGCCCGGTCACTGCGTGTTGATTGATACCATCGACCCGTCGGTTTACACGCTGTTTGTACGCGAGGTTTATTGCATCACGGAATACACGATACGCGCGACGGAGAACGCCCGCGGACGCTGCTACGTGTTGATGACCGGTAAAAAGCAAAGGGCATTTAACAGCATCGAGGATATCGTCGCGCATTGCGCGAATCAGGATGACGAATATCCGCGAAGTTGCCTCGGGGCCGAAAGCAATTACAGCGCGGTGAATGTTGCAGATCACAACGGACGACGCGTAGGTCCGAACCGTGAAACGGGTGCTATACAAAACTCGAGCGCGAGTCCGCGACCCGACCTAAGCCCGCGCGACGCGGGGAACGGCAGCGCTTTAGCCCGGCACATAGAACGGCTGCGCATTTCGCCGCATCACACGTACGGTAAAACACCCGCAAACGAATATATGAATCAACGGGAGGCTCCCGTGCCGCCGCAACGTCCCACTCGCACAACAAGTCCCGCAATAGGTCACACGCGCCAAGAATCGGGGTACCTGTACGAACCCTCGTCGCGTGGACAAGCGTCCGCATTTAATATACACGCGACCGCAAACAATAATCACGCCGACGAAAATACAGGTCATTCGAGCGACGACGAATTGATCTACGCTGAGATTGATTTTTCAAAAATGGGAGCCCGGTAGAGTTTTTATAAATTTTTATATATAAAACGTCTGTATGTTTATGTTGCTGAAATATACATAAAAACATTTTCCAAGTATTTTTTTTCACATTTGTAAATTATTAGACTTGTATGCATTGTATGTACTTAAATTAAAAAAATAAAGGAAAACAACAACAACGCAACTGTAATGTGTTGATCTATATTCGACCCGTATTGTGAGTACGTAAGCGTCCGACTTTCTCCGGGTTCTTCTAACCGACCGACCAGAGATGTTGTTTATGTAAGCGCGTGACTCGCGCGATTCAGAACACAATGTCCCCACGCGCCTTTTTTTTTTGTATATTAAATAATCATCCGGTTTTCGCCGGGTCCTTCTAACCGACCGACCAGAGATGTTGTTTATGTAAGCGCGTGACTCGCGCGATTCAGAACACAATGTCCCCACGCGCCTTTTTTTTTTGTATATTAAATAATCATCCGGTTTTCGCCGGGTCCTTCTAACCGACCGACCAGAGATGTTGATTATGTAAGCGCGTGACTCACCCAGAACACAATGTTCCTTTTTTTTGTATTAAACGGGAGGAGGTGTCCCCGACCAGCACGGTAGCCAATGTTGTGTGGATAGAGCGCGTGATACGACCTCGCCTCTCGATATACGAAGGGAGGGCGAGTGGCTATATAACGGCAAAGAAGCCTTTCTCTATCGAGCTTTTCAGTCGCGACCATGGATGTTAGCGTTTCGATTTACGCGATCCTCGTGCTTGGATGCATGTTTCACACGGGGTTGTGCGCGACCGGTTCGTGCGATCACGCCGGAGCAAGAAGATACCCGAAACCAATATTCGGCTATCTCGGGGACAGCGTGGAACTGGTTGGGTTTTTAACAAATCCCAACGACATGTTTTTTCACAACGGTAGACCCAGGCGGGCCGGAGATCTTCCGTACAAAACGCGCAAAAGCCAGGAGGGCTACGCTGTTACAATTCGATACCCCTCGTGTACGGACGCCGGCAACTACTGTATCGGAGGAGTCTCTTTTGTGCTCGTGATGCGACAAAAGAAGAAGAAGGCGACGCACAACGGGAACGCCGCCGAAGCTTTGATGTATTCGGCGCAAACACCCGACGTCTCGATTCCGCTGATAAACACCCTTAATATCTATAGACTGGACAAAACGGGCTTTACCAGAGTGTGGAATGTAACAAATCAACTGCTCGATCCCAACTGCGTTCTGGTAAACAATGAGACGTTTACGGGATGCAACGGAGACACGCGAGAGTACTTCTTGTACGACACGCAATCGCTTCCTGGTATGGACTGTAGCAGCGACACGAGCGAACCCGTTAGCCTCAGGCCGTACGTTCCGATACTCGATCAATTGGAACCCATCGACACGAGGGTCGACTTGAGCCCATACGATATCGAAGATGGTAAATTGTAATCTTTTTTTTTGTTCTTTTCCCATCCGTATACGTGTACTGTAACTTTATGTTGTTGCTCTCCCCCCCCCCCAGTTCTCGCTGAGATTGAAGAGATGGCGCGGATGTTGGAGAAAAATACTACCAACGGAGCGTGGAAGCCGACAATATCAACTCATCATGTGTTTATGTCGTGTATAATAAACTTTTTAATATTCATCTTAACATGAACTATATAGATTTACGCTACAATTTTTATGTATGTCATAGGATAAACTAACTTTTTATAAATGCGATATGATAGAAACGTGAGATGTGATACTCAATTGTATGTATGTGTAATGAAATAATAGGACCTTTTCGTTGTATTCATCGCAACTTATAATCTGTGTGTGTGTGTGTGTGTGTGTGTGTGTGTGTGTGTGTGTGTGTGTGTGTGTGTGTGTGTGTGTGTGTGTGTGTGTGTGTGTGTGTGTGTGTGTGTGTGTGTGTGTGTGTGTGTGTGTGTGTGTGGCATAACAACATTATATACTTTTATGAATATAACAACATTATGCTTTTATGAATAAAGACAGGAAAAAAACCAATGTAAATGTGTGTTTATTGTTTTTTTTATACATTATGAATCTCTGTTGTTATGACATTGATTTCGTCGGGCGTTACGGTCTTGCTTAATGAGCGCCACCTTTTCTGTGCTAGAAATCCCCGCGCCGTCAATCTGTCACCGGGGTCCACTGTCAGTAGTTGAAACACAACATCCTTTATAGCGGTCTCCTTCTGGATCACACGCGACAGCACACCTTCGATGTTGAACACGGCGGGTTTCTTTCCCGTCTTTTTGTACTCTTCCGGTTCGAAGACTTGTTGTAAAATCTCAGACGTGGTGTACACGATCCGACCCGCTCTTTTGTTTCTAAACAACCAGACTCTGTGCTCCAGCAACTCGGCGATGAGCACACCCAGGCTCCACATGTCTATCGCGTTCGTGTACGATTTCGTAGCGTCGTCGCACGTAAACAGCTCCGGTGCTCTATAGGGCGCCGTAACGGTTTCTCCCGACATCCAGTCTGCTACGTTACGCGAAAGTCCCATGTCGCCGACCTTCACGGTCAGATCTTCGGTTAGCATCACGTTGCTGGCTGTCAGGTCTCGGTGTATCCAGTTCAGGTCGTGCATGTACGCGAGCGCTTCGGCTATCTGAAGTGAGATTCGCGCTACGATCGACGTCGGCGCGGGGGAACGTTGTGTGATAACATTAAACAACGTGTACGGATAATAGCCCATCAACACCGCTACATCTTCCTTATAGAACAACACTTGGTTCATCTGCACGATATGCGGGTGACCTCGAAGCGCGAATAAACACGACAGCTCTCGTACGGTCGAATCCAAAAGGCCGTGCGAGGACCCCAAGCGCACGCTTGGCCTAAACACCTTCATCGCGAATACGTTTTCGGGGTTCGCTTTTGAGCGGACTTTGTACACGTCTCCGTACGAACCCGCTCCAAGTTTCGTCGGGCTGACGATGAAGTCCTCCATAACGAAATACCTCTCACGCAATAGTAGCAGCAGCGCGCTTGAGTGAAATGTGTATAGTTAGTCATTCCCTCCCTTTTTTCCTCACATATATGTAGCCAACCCCCCCATCCCGTTCACATTTTTTTATACGCACTCGGTCGAGATTAAATGATGTTTGTTTTTTATATTAAAAAAAACACACGCACACGACACCGGCCACACGTACACGGTAGTGCTATTTATATTTGAGATGCTTTTTTTTAATTATCACACCACAAGTCTCCCAGAGGCGTCGTCTCCGCCGCGTCGATGGCCGCAAATGCGCGATTCACAACATCGATGTGAATGTCCTCAACGCGTCTCGACGCTTCAATCGTTGTCCAATTCGTCGACGGGTCCTCGCGCATCAGACGAAGGAATTGTTGTTGAACCGACGTTTGAAACTGCCGAGTTTCGTATCGTTCCGTTCCAAAACAAGACCGCGTCGCCGCCTCGTCGGGAGTTAGTTGTAGAAGAACAACGAGATCTGGTTTTGGTAACCCGACGTCGGGTTTCATGCACCAGTCCATCGAGAACCCGGGTTTAGCGCTAGTAAAAGCAACGCCCGAGAACGCGTATCTATCCACGACGAGCGTGGTGCCGCTCTGCAGTTTGCTCCGTATTAGGGGCGCCGATTCCCAGCGATTGGCGGAAAATAACAAATGTACAGCGCGATCGCTCAGATCCGTTGTCTTTTGCAGGTACGCGTCGATCAGTTGACCCACCGGTGTGTTCCTGTCTGGAAATTGCAAGGCTTCGACGCGAAGCCCGTTCTTTTTAAGTGCATCTATCAGTTTCTGACATTGAGTTGTTTTTCCAACCCGGTCCGTTCCTTCCAGAACAATCAACGCGCCCCGTTTATTAGTGGTCGAGCACATTTTTTTTGCGAATCGCGAACGCAACCGATATACCTCCGTTCTTTGCGCTACTTTTTTTTAATATATATATACGTGTTTATAATTAAAAAAAAATTCAAGTTGAGTTATGTCTAAGTACGGTCGGTCGGATAAACAACCGCGCGCCACTTAATTACGCTATCAAACACGCGTTGTTGGTCGCTCTATTGGGTGTTTTTTTTTGTATGCGCGCGGTACTCGTGTCGTAAAAGATATAACTAGTATCGGTAATGATTTGTTTATTGACACGGTCGGTCGGGAATTATAATCATAAACATACAAACACGGTCGGTCGGGTACTATAATCACAAACATACATATAAACGAACCAGAGCGAACGACACCGCTAAAACCGACACCATGAACACCAGCATTAACATCTCCTCGAGCTACAACAACACCAGCCGGGTTTTCAAATACCCGCGGGGGTGTCACGCGCCGTATCCAACGACGCTGTTCTCTATGCTCGCGGTGCACTGCACAGTTGCCGGCGTGGGAATTATACTCAATACGTTGATGCTTTTTTACATCAATAAATCGTGGCGCCGTTTATCTAACATAGACAGGTGCTTCTGTCTAATCGGAGTATGTAACGTGGTCCTATTATTCATTATGCCCGTGTGGATGTTTCAAACAATACCCGCGTATGGATGGGTCGCAGGACGCGGTCTATGTGCGCTACTGAAAGGTGTCACAACGGTGAGGATTATATTTTTTAAAAAAATTTAAAATAAATATACATTTAAAATTAGATAATTTTTTTCTCCTCCGCATATAACGCTGATTATATCTTATGTATCCCCCCCCAGTTCTGTTTTCAATACAGCGTGATCTTGTTGACCTTTGTGAGCGTCGAGCGATACATAATCGTCACGCATCGACGCGACGGTTGGTTCTGGAGATCGTTGAGAACAACAACCACAAGATGCGAGGAGGGACTCTTCGATAGAATGAAGACCTACTGTCCGACCGCGGTCTTGGCCATTCTGCCTATAGCCACGGCCGCGTTCGACGTGTCGACCTGGACAACGGTCCGTGTGACTCGCGAACTCTTTATGTGCACAAGCGTGGCCCGAGGGGGCTTGAAACACGCCATGTTTTGGGCTCGTGTATTTTTGTATTTTGTTATTCCCACGTGCCTTATGGTTTATTGTAACCTCACGATTGTACGCGTTATACGTGTTCACATAAACAACAACACACAGGCCAACGCAAGGTCTTTCAGGGCGGCTAAATTGTTACCCATCGTGGCGTTTGCATCGTTTATTATCTGTTGGTTACCGTGGCTAACATCCGCTGTGTATTTTAACTTTCACTTCAACTGCCGTATGCCGACAATACTCAACGCGTGCACCGCCGTCGGACACCTATACTGCACAACCACGGCTATATTGTATATAATCATGACCAAGAAACGACTAAAGCGTGCCTCCTCGATTGTAACCAGCGGCGACGCGCAGACCTACACGCGTTGTGCGCATGCTGCTGAATAAAATGTTTCAATATTTGTGTTGTTTATAAGAACGAACGCGCTTGTTTAACAGTTGTTGCAACGAAATGTATATAATAATATGTGTGTGTGTGAACTGAAAATGTTTTGAACACAAATCTTTTCACAATAATGTATATATATATATATTTCTTGAACCGTGCGTGATGTTGCGTGTAACCGCTGCAATAATGTTATTGTTGTTGTACAGTTTCAATAAAACTCTCTCAAATCACACATGTGATACGTTTGTGTATTTTTATTATAAAACAATCAAAACATACACACACAACATCTCCCAGCCAATGGAGCAAAAAAAAGAACCGCTAAAAATACTGATACAGTGTATATATAGCGGAAAAAATAAATACAGTTTTTTTTAAAAAAAAACTTCAATAGAAACGTGTTCGTTTAACGTCATCGACGCGCGGTTGCTGATCCTTAGACCGCTTGCGTTTTTGTTGATCCTCCTCCTTTGTTGCGGCGCGGACAACAACGAGCGGAGGTCGTTGTCCCGTGCGTAGCGCCAACGCCGCGTCTCCGTCCACGCGAGGCGAGTAGTCTAAAATTCCGTGGTATAGTTGGTTCAGACAGACCATGGTCAGAGCGTAGTCTAATTTCAACATGTCGGGTGTAAACACGTTGTTGTCTCTGATAGTGTTGAAGACATCGACCGCGTCGAGCCACTCCCAATCGGGCTCAAGTCGCGAAACGCTCTCGCGATCGTTCTTGTCGTGTCTGAGGAGAATTTTATCTTGGTGGTACACGGTTCTCGATGTGCAAAATGACGATAGGTTTCCCACCGGTACACCGCTGTACTGTAGTGAATAGACACACAACCTGGCTCCGTGAAACGTTCCGCGCGGACCGACCTTTGACTCCTTGACGTGATTCTCGTTGTGCGCGGACGGCGGAGCATCCGCGCCCAGCTTGTGAACAACAGCGCCCCCGTAATATACAGGAGCGGAACATTGGTACACGTGCGCGCCCCCAAACACGGTTTTCTCGAACGGTTTTCTCGAACGTCATACACTCGCCCACCGGGACCCCTAGTGTTTACAGTACCGTCAGCATTAAGGTCAACGGCTTAAGGCCCGTTGTTGGTTTCGACTTGGAGCTGACACGCGACGACGATGACGAAGGCTGGTTGTCGATTCGCAAAAAGTGGCAAGCGTACTTCGCGGCGGAGCCGGCGTTTGTCAAGCTGGAACATCAGGACACCAAGCGTTCCGCGGAAGCGGTTCTCGTGCCTCTGCAGTCTATCAAGAACGCGACCAGGTACATGAAGACGGTGAAGGGAGCGTTGACGTTTGGCGATTTTTGCCCAGACAGGGGCTATTACGTCGCGAGGGACGGCAACACCCCCGCGTTGTGTTCGGACGTTATGTTTGGGCGAACGTATTTTGTCGATCTCAAAAAGATCACTACTGCTCGAGGAGGCGCCAACAACAACGCGTTGACCCCGGCCGATCTGACGTACGACCACGACGCGTCGGAGCGGCACGCGGAGATGTTCGACGCGGAGCACGCGCCGTATTTCTACAAGGCGGCCTGTTTGGACATCGAAACGGTTTTCGACGACGCGTACAGGACCCCATCGCTGATGTGCGAATCGTTCCGGTACGCGTTTCCGTACTGCACGGAGAAAACCGTATCCGAGTTGATACTGTTCAGGACGAAGCAGGTCGAAGAGCTAAACAAGAGCAATGGCCGAAAGACCGCGACGAATGTCCCGCGCGTCACGATCCCGACGTTGACTCCCGATTTACCCGGCCARCAGCACGAAATCACGTGCGTGTCCGTCGTTGTGCTGAACACGCACATGTTAAAAGTCAACAAGGATACGCACAGAAAGCAACTGATTGTCCTGTACAACAAGGCCAAAACGGACAAATATCCCGCGCCCGATAGCGAACTGGCGCGGAACGTGGGTATAGAAGACGTGACGCGCGTGAAAATATTCGCGTGCTCCAGCGAGTACGACCTGTTGTTGAACACAATCAAGGTACTGCACAAGCACTGCGTGGAGCTGCTGTACGTCTACAACGCGGATTTCGACATCAGGGTGCTGCACCAGCGCGTGCACTTTTATAACAAGAACGCGTACGGTCGCGACGTCGGTAGGAAGGACTGCGACGAGCTGCTGCGTTTGTGGAACGGTCTTTTTATCGCGCGGGATCTATCGTCCGATCCCAACGTGGGACCCGTCTTCCAATTCGAAAGCGTGCGCCACATCGAAATGTACAAGGCGATGATCAAAGACGTGGCCGCGCTGGGTCCGTCGTCGTCGCGTAACGCGATGGCGCTGTACAACCGCGTGCGCGACTTCAATAAAAACAAGGCCAAGCTGGGGCACTTTAAGATGAACGGCTGCGGCATGAACGTGATCGACCTTTACCGTGTGGCCGGTACCAAAGACATCAACTACGCGTGCACCAGCATGAAACTAAACGACGTGGCGCCGTTTGTCGTAGCGCGCCACAGGGCGCTGCACGGACGCCCCGCCAAGCAGAACAATAAGCTATACAAGGTCGCCGACGTGAGCTACGACAAGATGGACGCGATGATAAAGAGCGGGGGTAAGGAGCTGTTTGCCG